CCTAGAGGGGGAAAGGCCCCGTGTCCCATTCCCACCCATCTCTCCTCTGAGCATTCACAGCTCTCTCCCTGGTAAATCAGGGAGAGCTATAGATAGGGTGTATGGGGATGGATAGGTAGAGGGGGTGTATGGGAATAGATGGATGGATGGATAGAGGGGGGTGTTTGGGGATAGACAGACAGATAGATAACCTCAGTGCAGTCCCTTACCCCATGTCCAGCTCTGATTCTCTACCGGACCAGTTCTCTGAGCACAGTGGATCTCTCCTCTTGCCCTGGCTGGGTAACTCAGCCTCCTGTCCAGGGCAGGGTTGATATGACAGCTGATAGGGAAAACACTTTGGAGCCCAAAATAAACCTAGGTGTGGGTGCTTCAAGCAGCATTGGTGGGGCAGGAAGAGGTGACCAGAGCACCAAAATAGACACCCTGTTTTCTGTAGCTGCCACTTACATCTGCACTGGGAAACTCCCCGGCCCCCTGAGAGGGGAGAATTTGCCTGTTCAACCACTAGACCCCACTCCCCTCCCAGAACTGAGGATAGGACCCAGGAGACCAGGCATGCAGTCCCCACTGCTCTAATCCCTAGACCCCCCTCTTCTGCCAGTGTCAGGGATAGGACCCAGGAGTCCTGACTCCCAGCATCCCTGCTCTAACCACTAGACCCCACTCACCTGCCAGAGTTGGAGATAGAACCCAGGAGTCCTGTCGCCCAGTCCCTGCTCCTTTCTAACAAAAGGCACTTCCCCTGAGCTGTAGGAACCAAAGTCAGGTCTCCTTTTCCTGGTTCCTTTTCCTATTCACTGGAGCAGTATCTCGCACCCTCAGCTGTCCTGATCTGGATCAGCCCCTAGACCGGTATCCCTGCCTGGCCAGCCAGTGGGCACAGGACAGACGGCTGGGAGCCAAGCTCTGGACACTGCATGGACCCCCTCCCCGACCAGAACTGGGGCCTACTGCCAGGCACTACACAGACACCCAGCAAGCATCTAAGAGATGAGCACCCCAAACTTGGAAGGCTTAGAGGTGGTGGGGTATGGGGCACAGGGCCTTTCCCTTCCAGGGGGTGCTGCCTCCCATCCAGCCCCACGCCGGTGGACTGGCAGGTTTATGGGGGCAGGCAATGGGGCACGGGGCCTTTCCCCTTTAGGGGGTGCCAGCTTCGATCTGGCCCCAGGGCCGGGAACTGGCAGGTTTTTTTTTTGGGGGGGGGGGGGCAGGGAATGGCGCATGGGGCCTTTCCCCTCTAGTTTTGCTCTAGTGGCTCAGAGACCAACTCTCCCTCCCCCTGCCAGTGTCCCGGGTCACAAAGCATCGCTGGGCCCTCGGAAACCGCCCTCCGCGCTTGCTGGCTGAACTGGAGAGACAGCAACGGGTGAGGCACTAGGCAAGACCTGAGCAACCAGGGCAGAGTTGGGGTTACTGGCCCCGGAGTCCCCAGTGCAGGGCTCCCCTCCCCAGACACCCTATCCCCCTTCCCTCCTCCCCAAACTCTGACCCCTTGTCAACTGCAGCTGGCTACAAAGCTTAGGCAAAGAGGGAAATTGTGGGTGGGGCAAGCCGGTAGTTACAGGGGAGCTGCGACAGTTTCAAGGAGCCCAGAGCCCACCCACAATAGTTTCGAGGGAGCCCTGAGCTCCCTTGACAGTTTCTAGAGACCCTAGAGATAACCAATGTTTGTAGGGAGCCTGGAGCCTAGAACTGATAGTTTTGAGGGAGTCCCGAGCCCCCCGTGATTGTGTTGAGGGAGCCCAATCATCCCTGTGGTGATTTCAGGGAAGCCCAGGGCTCAACCACGTAATTTCTAGGAACCCAGCCCTGCTTCCCCTCCTAGAGTTCCTAAGAACCCCAGTTCCTGCTCTGGACAGTTTCTAGGTACCCAACCACCCCCCCCCCCCCCCCCCCCCCGGGCCTGCAGAAATTTCCAACCGCGGCTCCAAACCACAGGGACGCCTGGCGGTTTCAAGCAACTTCTGCTTTTGCAGAGCCCTAAAGTGGAACCAAAGGGGGGGGGAGAGGGAGAAGGATGAAGGGGGGGTGGATTGGTCCAGATCCTCCTGTGACACTCTGTAGCTCGTGGGAACACCTTACATCCCCATGTTCATCTTTATAAAATGATTGTGTGATATCCAGTGCAAAGTTTGTCATGTCGGGTTTCTTCGGAAGGCTCATGATGCACTGAGCATTGTTGTTATAGTGATGTTATAGTAATTGTTGTTACAGTAATGTTATAGTGGTGTTATAGGTTATAATTTAATGTATATAGTTATGAGGCTGAAAATGTATCCTCATAACTTAAAGCAAGCCCAGGCAAAAACTCTTCAAAAGCAGAGGGGCAGTTCACACCTCATCAGGGCATGTATGGGACAAACCCAGCCCAGCCTCACAGGAACAAAGGACACTGGCCTAAGCAGCGACAAAAGAATCTGTTAGACCCTCGAGGGAGTCACCCCCCTTCCTTTGGTCAGTTTGGGACTGCGATGGGGTAATGCTCACCTGACTCTGAAGGGGGGGGCGCAAAGCCAAGAAGGAAGAAAGGACATGATAAAAGGGAGAGACATTTTGCCATCCTCTCTCTTCCACCTCCATCTACAGACACCACCACCACCAAGCGACTGAAGCGCTGATCAAAGGGGAGCGCCTGGCTGAAGGGCAACCAGGCAGCCTGTGGTGAGAAGCATCTAAGTTTGTAAGGGCAGTGAAAGTGTTAAGATCAGCTTAGAATGCCTTTTGCTTTTATTTCATTTGAGCAAATCTGACTTGTGCTTTGACTTATAATCACTTAAATCTACTTGTTTGTTCTACCTGAAGCCGTGCGTTTGGTTTGAAGCGTGTCAGAGACTCCCCTGGGGATAACAAGCCTGGTACATATCAATTTATTTGTTACATTGGCGAACTCATATAAGCTTGCAGCGTCCAGCGGGCATAACTGGACACTGCAAGACGGAGGTTCCTAGGGTTGTGTCTGGGACCGGAGATATTGGCTAGTGTCATTCAGTGGCACAATCCAAGGAGCAGCTTACATGGCAGAGGCTGTGCGTGACCAGCCCAGGAGTGGGGGTTCTCACAGCAGAGCAGGGTAAGGCTGGCGCCCAGAGGCAAGGATTGGAGTGACCTGGCAGATCACCGGTACAGATAACACCAGGGGAACGTCACACCGTCCCCTCCCAGCAAGCTGCAAAACTGCTGAGCTCCGCACAGTGGGAATGCGGTCTAGGCCCAAGGGGTTGGACAATACAGTTCTCATCTGCTGCCACCTAGTGGGCAGAGGGGAGACTGGCGGGTGCCTGGTCATTGATTCTCGCCTGCCCGGGCGTGTTGGACGGGCAGCGCTAAACCCAGGCCGAGGGGCAGCTGGGCCAGGCTCAGAGACCGAACGGGGCAATCGGAACTCGGAAGGGAGAGGCTGCATCGGCTGCACCTCCCGCTGGGCCCTTCTCCCCATTTAGACAGAGGGAACCTGAGGCACACAGCGAGGCAGGGGCTTGCCCAGGGTCACACTGGCAGCTGGGAATAGGACCCAGGATTCGTGGCTCCCAGGCCCTCCGCTCTAACCACTAGGCCCCACTCCCCTTTTATAGCTGGAAATAGAACCCAGGTGTCCCAGCTCCCCCACTCTAACCACTAGACCCCACTCCCCTCCCAGATCTGGGAATAGAACCCAAGAGTCCTGGCTCCCAGCCCCTGCACTGTGGTGTGAGTGCAGCACACCCATTTCGGCGGGGGCCTGGTCTCAGTCGAATGATAACTACAATAACGATATTAATAATAACGACCCCACTGGAGCTGGGAAAACTTTATTGATTAAATCAGCACGGATCCGTTAGTGGAATGCAATTTACAGCCACTGGGCAAAAGAGTCAGTGCTAGGGTGGAGTGGTGAGACCCCTGGGTGATCCCGATTGGCCCCAGCTGGGAGCTCTGGCCCCATTGACTCCCATGGAGCTATAGCCCATTGACACCAGCTGGGATCCGGCCCCATTGCCTCTGTTCCTACTAACTCATTGATCAGTCCTTGCAGGAGCTGGGATTTCATTGACAGGAGATTTAGGATTCCCACTGATTGTGGTTTAGAATATTTCTACGTCCAAGTTACACAGACCTCCCAGTTACCTCGGACACAATCTCTAGCACCTTCCATACACAATGGGTAGGAATCATGGCCTCAGTGCCAAAATGAGCCACCTCTGGGGCGGGGCAGCTGGGGAGCAGCCACACGGGGATGGCTCACCTGGTGCTGAGATGCAGCCACCTCTGGGTCAGGGCAGCTGGGGAATAACTGCCCAGTGAACCTCATAGACTGGCTCACCCAATGCAGACCAACAGGACGGAGTTTAGTCTATTCCCCCAGTAGCAGAGTTAGCCGTACATTCTAATTCGCCCTATGGGGGTGAGGGGGTCTGGATCATCCTCTATATCCAATTCTCCCATGGCAGGATCGGTCCCATGGGGGTATGAAATGAGCACAAGAAATCTGGACCCTGCCATCACACCCCGACTGGCATCTCTTCACCCCCCGTCCCAGCCCAGTCAGGGATGTCCCCATCCTAAGGGGTCTTTCAAGACCATCAATGGTCAAGGTCATGACCATGCACTCATGTCTCAGTGGAAAACGGCTACCTCACCCACTAGTCCTGTGAAAACCAGACACCTCCTTGTCCTAAGGGGGATATGTACTGACCCATGGATAGGCCAGGTTCTTGGACTCACGTGCCATCCAAGGTCGGAGACTACTAGTGCCATGGGGAATCTGTAAAGACCATGAATTTCCCGGTCCTTTGTCTTACGTCCTATCCAAGATCAGGGGTTCCGGGTGCCGCGGGGAATCTGTAATGGTCATGAATTTCCTGGTCCTTGGTCCTGCGTCCTATCCAAGATTGGAGGCTCCCAGCCCCATGGGGAATTTTTAAGGTTCATGAGCAGCCGGGTCCCACAGCCCATCCAAGATTGCCAATCTCCCCGAATCCTGTCCCAACAGCGTTTGGTGTCTCCTTGTCCCATGGTCACTTGGAGCTCCCTACCCCGGGGCCTGTACTTCCCTGCGATGCAGCCCCCTTCTCAGGCTGCCCCTTGCCTGCCTCCCTGTGACCCATGGTCATCTTCTGCCGGAAGGAGCTGCAACGCTGCCCCACCGAGCGCCACACCCAGGCCAGGCCGTGGTCCTTGGCCGAGGAGAGGAAGTAGAAGATGAGCGGGTCCAGGAAGGCGTTGCAGGCACCGGGCAGCAGCGCCACCCTGCGCCACCAGACGTCCTCGCCGCGGGCGTAGCCCACCACGTGGGACAGGTTATAGGGCCCGAAGCAGAGCACAAAGACGGAGAGCGTGGCCAAGGCCAGCCGCACCGCCCGGCGCTTCTTCTGCTCGTGGAGACGGGACTTGATGAGGACGTGGATGCAGCCGGCATAGCAGAAGACCGTGATCACCAAGGGCAGGAAAAACAGGGCCACGGACAGCTCCAAGCGGACAGGAGCCAGCAGGGCCAGCTGCTCTGGACTGAATTCCTGGTAGCAGGCGGTGCCGTTGCCTATAAAGAGGGTGGCGTTGGCGCCCAGCGAAGTCTCCAGGATGAGCAACAGGATGCCGTGAAAGGCCACCAGGGTCCAGATGGCCACGCAGACCAGGCAGGAGTAAAGGGGCTTCTTGTAGAGCTGGTAGCGGATGGGGAAGGCGGCGCCCAGGTAGCGCCCGGCACTGACCGCCGTCAGGAAGCAGGTGCTGGCATAGAGCGTGCCAAAGTGGGCCAGGCTGTAGAGAGGGCAGAGGAAGTTTGGTGGGGACCAGCCTGGCGGAACCACCTCCAGGATCTTGAGCGGCAGGATGAGGACGAAGGCCAGGTCCGAGAGGCAGAGGTTGATCATGTAGATGAGGTTGGGGGTGAGGCGGGTGCGGGCGCGGCTGTAGAAGATGTACAGCACCAAGGCGTTGGCAGGCAAGCCCAGCAGGATGGTGACGGAGTAGACGGCCAGGGCCAGGGTGTCCAGCGGGTCCATGGTGCCGGCTCAGCGGGGGGTGGAGGAGGGAGGCATCTCAGCTGGGGCTGGAATGATAACAAGGATGAGCCCCCTCCACCGTGTCCCCTAGATCCAGCCCCCCATCCCTGCCCCACATCCCCTAGATCCACACCCCAGATCCCTGCCCCACGGCCCATCCCCTAGATCCACCCCCGATCCCTGCCCCACGTTCCCTAGAGCCACACCCCAGATCCCTGTCCCACGGCCCATCCCCCAGATCCATCTCCACATCCCTGCCCCACGACCACACCCCCTAGATCCACCTCCTCATCCCTGCCTCATCATTACATCCCCTAGATCCACCCCCCCATCCCTGCCCCATGACCATGTCCCTTCGATCCACTCCCATCCCTGCCCCATGGCCACATCTCCTAGATCCGCCCCCCATCCCTGCCCTACGGCTGCGTCCCCTAGATCCACCTCCACTTTCCTGCCCCATGACCACACACCCTGGATCTACCCCCAGTCCCTGCCTCATGGCCACGTCCCCTAGATCCACCCCCATCCCTGCCCCATGACCACGTCCCCTTGATCCACTCCCATCCCCGCCCCATAGCCGCGTCCCATAGATCCACCCCCAGATCCCTGCCCCACGACCATGTCCCCCCGATCCACTCCCATTCCTGTCCCACGGCCGCGTCCCCTAGATCCACCTCCTCATTCCTGCCCTACGGCCGCATCTCCTAGATCCACCCCCAGATTCCTTCCCCACGGCTGTGTCACCTCGATCCACCATGATCTTTGCCCCACGGCCGCGTCCCCTAGATCCACCCCCCATCCCTGCCCCATCACCGCATCCCCTAGATCCACCTCCATGTCTCTGCCCCATGGCCGCGTCCCCTAGATCCAGCCCCCCATCCCTGCCCCATCACTGCATCCCCTAAATCCACCCCCTCATCCCTGCCCCATGGCCACATCCCCTAGCTCCTACCTCTCTGGCTCAGCTCCCCACACCTGTGCTCCCGCCCGGCCTGGCTCCAGGGACGTGGCGAGCTGCTGTGCCAGCAGTCGCTGGGGGCGTGGATCTGCCTGCTCCCAGGTGGGATGAAATTGCCCAGAAGGAATTGTTCAACCAGGGCAGCTTCATCCCCCGGCTACGTGGCTGGGCCATAAAGCCATAAAAATCCGGGGAGGTGCAGGGGGCCGCCCTGCCCCATGGGCCCTTCTGCCTCGTGCCCCCCAGCTGGAGCGACTGAGAGGGAGAGAACGGCCGGATTATCCCCCACGGGGAATGGATCCCTCTGTGTGGACCCGGAGCTGGGACCCTGAAGTAGGACAGACACCCAGCCCTGCAATGTGACCCGATAAATGGGACTCGCCCCCTCATCCTGGGAGGAGATTTTCCCCACTTCAGAGGCAGCTGCTGCTCATCGATCCCTACGTGGCAGTTTCCTAGCTGCCCCGCACCAGAGGTGGCTGCATCTCGGTGCTGGGTGATCCATCCCCGTGCAGAGTCGCTGTGCGGCTCTTCCCCAGCTGCTCCGCCCCAGAGCTAGACGCATTTCTTGGGGACTCCTTTAAAAGCAGCTGGATCCCCCCCCTTGTTAGTGAAAAGCAGCATAGCATGGCATTCATGTGTGCTACAGGTGCTTTCTATCCAACTGCCAACGTAGTGGTTTCTCCTATCGCCAGAGCCGAGGCTAGAACCCAGGAGTCCTGGCGCCCAGCCCCGCTGCTGTCAGCCCATCAGTTGTCAGGGCTTGTTATTTTGATGGCTGATACAACGCTCAATGAGCGAACTCCCCCGAGATCCATATCGCTCTGCTTGTTTCCGTGATTCTGTGCTATTTCCGCTGGGAGAGATAACGTGGTTTTAGAGACACACAGGCAGGCAAGGTCAACTCACTAGAGTGAATTGCTCCCTCTGAAATGCTGCGGCAGGAAACTCCCAGCCTGATCTCATGACAGAGCTGGCTGCATCTCAGGCCCGGCGAGCTGTCCCCATGTGGCGTCATGTCCGGCTGTTCCCCAGATGTCCCACCCCAGAGGTGGCTGCATCTCAGCACCAGGCTAGGCCTCCCCATGCAGTGTTGTGTGCAGCTGTTCCCCAGCTGCCCTGCCCCAGCACTGTTCCCCAGTTGCATATCAGCACTGAGCGAGCCATCCCGAGCGGCGTTATGTGCAGCTGTTCCCCAGCTGCCTTGCCCCAGAGGTGGCTGCATCTCAGCGCTGGGTGAGCCATCCCCATACGATGTTATGTGCAGCTGTTCCCCAACTTCCCCACCCCAGTGGTGGCTGCATCTTGTAGTCGGTCAAGGTGTCCCCATGTGGCGTTATGTGTGGCTGTTCCCCGGCTGCCCTGACCCAGAAGTGGCTGCATCTCAGCACCAAGCTAGGCCTCCCCTTGCAGTGTTGTGTGCAGCTGTTCCCCAACTGCCCCACCTGCATCTCAGAGTCCGTCAAGGCATTCCCAGCTGCCCCACCCGTTACAGGCATTAAGTCACTCACACCCACACCATAGCAGGAAACTGAGGCACAGGTTAGAGAAGGACAGAATGGAGGAGAACCCAAGAGTCCGGATTCCCAGCCTCCCCTGCTTTTAACCCAGCAAGCTTGCATTGTGCTGGGGTATCAGGGCTAGCCCTGACTGCCAGGGGAGAGCCCCCACCCCGCCCCCTGCAGCACAGCGCCCCCTAGTGCTGCCCTGGGGCCTTGGGGCCAGCCCTGACTGCCAGGGAAGAGCCCCCGCCCCCCACCCCCCCACACACACACCCTGCAGCACAGCACCCCCTAGTGCCACCCTGGGGCCTTGGGGCCAGCCCAGACTGCCAGGGGAGAGCCCCCATCCCTGTGCCACGCTCTGGCATTGCATCCCCTCGTACAGGACGCACAGATCTCTCAGATAAATACAGCTCCTGGCAAATGCTCATAGATCAATTTATTTCTTTTCCCGCTGTGGCAGCTGCGCCGGTTTCTCTTGGCAGCGGGGGCCGAACGCTCCGGTGCTTTCAAGCTGAGAGCTGTTTACAGAACTTGCTATTTGGCCAGTTCCTGCTGCAGTTAATAGCCTGTAAAGTATTTTTATTGCTGATCCTATGGCGGGAAGAGATGCCAATTACATCCCTGGTTCCTCGTGCCAGGCGCGTGCTGGCCCAGGCCCTCGTTAATCAGAAAGGAAAGCACTGAGTGACTGCATGCGGCTGTTCCCTGGCTGTCCCACCCCAGAGCTGGCTGCATCCCAGCACCGGATGAGCCGTCCCTGTGCAGCGTTGCTGTTAAACAGACACTACTCATAAACATTTCAGTGAGCATTGCAAACCCCCCCCCCCCCCCCCGCAATTAGATCTCACTCCCCTCCCAGAGCTGGGGCTGGAACCCAGGAGTCCTGGCTCCCAGCCCCCACACTCCAACCTATAGCGCACTAGAAAAGCTACAGCAGGTTGATCCGGCTCTTCAGCGATAGTTGTGGGCTCCCCTGCCCTGGGGGTCCCCTATCACCCGGGGGCGGGGGACTTCGCCAAACCAGGCTCAGCTTGTAGGGGAATCACCCACAGCCTGTGGGCCTCAGGGGGGTCGCCGTGCTGGGGGGCTAAACCTCAGGGGGCAGCACCTGGAGAGTCCCGGGGATAGCTGGGATGGGGTGGTAACCAGGGAAAGCGCCCCCTGCTGCAGACAGGTGTGTCCTACAGCCAGCTGGGCAAGTGTGTGTGTGTGTGTGTGTGTGTGTGTGTGTG